TAAGGAGGTCGTCAACTTGTCATTATAATATCTGTTGTAATTAATCGGACATCATTTCAAATTGAGATTGATGACGAGAAATTGACATTTTTATACATAAAAATCTGCATCCACTGGTGAGACGTCGTATCACATTAGAATTCTATGACACACGATAGGTTAATCGTGTCAAACTTAGGCTGCTTTCCTTTTAGACACAATTCGACACAGTATAACACACTCGAACACAGCTTGCCACATTTATTAAATGAAACGCGATATGTGCAGTGTGTGTATCGTGTGTACGAACTTTTAATACCTAACCTTAAAAGATTTAAATTTTGACCTTAACGGACATACAAGATCCGATTATTGCAAGGAGTGATGTGTATATTTTCGAGTAAAGGTACATACTTTGTATCAATTGGTGGAGGTATTCCACAAAAAAAGATTTAACATCTTACAAGTTACAAACTTTTCAAAATTATTTTTAAACTTTACAGGTATTTATAAACATTGTATATCAAAATTTTTATCAGATAAAATATATTTTAAAAATAAAGTTTATTATTATTTTTATTACTTTTTAAATAAAATATATAAAAATAATAATATAATATTTGAAGGAAAATTAACAACAATGTTTATCATTCGTCGACCAAGTACCGAGACACTACCGTGTCTCCAGATATTGAAAACAGAACAAAATGATGGAAATTAGTTTGCGGGTGCGTTTTAATACCACTTAATTCATCAAAATCACACTTGAACAGACTCAAAACACACTGACTCTCCTCCTGAGCAGGGGCGAAGTATGTCGATTGAATTTGAACAAAATTGTAAATGGAAAGCGATGTGTGTCGATTTGTGTTAAGTATGTCGACTGTGTCTCCTAAAAAGAAAGTAACCTTAGCCATTGACTGCATTTTAATTTATGACATTTGATGTTTGCAAAACGCTGTATACATACTTAAACTAAATGAAACAAAAATTTTATCTGTCGAAGAAGAGAACAATAATTAATCTTTCTTTAAATGTACAGGTTGACAATCAGAAGATTGCTCTGAAAAATAAATAATTTTATCTTGTGATGAGTGGACAAATCGAAATGAATTGAACACTATTCTGTGGAAGAAATCTATCAATTTTGCTAATATATTTGCTTGATTATGTGGTTCATTGATATTTTCAAGATTATCATCTAAATTTATACAATAATTGTAAAGCTTTTCAAAATTAAATATATTTTCTAACATTAATAACTGTAAACTGTTTTCAAAAAATTTCAGATAAATTCCTTTTATGGAAATGGCCATTCAAGTTGAGATATAGGTTGTGGTCAAAGTCTCGCTACAAATGCTTTGAAGCGTTTGATGGACCAATTAGAAGAATTTTACAAACTGACCAATTAAAAAATGCTTTAAAGCGTTTGCAACATCGCGTTGACCATACCCATAAACATACATACTGAATCAGTGAAACCAACTAAATTTTCAACTTTTTAATGTTTATTTTTACAAATTCATAAATATGTATTTTTTGTATTATATACTAATAAAAATGATGGGTTTTCTCTGCAGAGCAGTGTTTATTTTATTCTATTTTCATTGGAAAATAACAGTTGGATTTGTCAATTTTTTTATTATCATTCTGTATATACTGCCTTAATATGTTGCGATATTTTCTGTATATATTGCCGTAATATATTTTTGATAAATATATTATCTTACTGTAATATAAGATTAATTAAAAATAATTCCATAAGTTAAATGGATAACTGATCTCAATTATTAGTTCTCATTTATCAGTTTGTTTTTACAGATATTGCTATATCAGAGCTTATTTGGAAAGAAAATCCTAACATATAATACATTCTTATAATTTATTTGATATTATATAATATATTTATTACATTCATGTATTATTTAATACATTTATTTTCACAATTAACAGTATTACTCTATGTATTAATTTAGACTAAATATTGACAAAAAATTAGAATCGAGAGATTAATAGAAAAAGAATTAGTTGGGTATCTAGAAATTGTATATGTTTATATTATAGCAAGCTTATTATTTGAATTACAATTATAGTGCAAAATATAATATTACATATTTTTTTTACTGCTTACTGTTTTAGGTAACATGAAATTGTGGATCGTGATAGCACACATCACATTGGTCGTTACTAATCTATGGGTTACAGCCCATTTCCAGGAAGAAGTACCCGAGGATAATGAGTTTGCAGAATTTGAAGATTTTGAAGAGGAAAAGCCAAGTGTGCTTATTGAACGTGTACCAGAATTGCCTCCAGAAGAAGAATTAAATCAAGATTTCGAAGAGGACGATGTCTTAGTTACAGATGGTGACAGTGAATTTGATCATTTCCAAGATGAAGAGGAATTTGAAGGACTGGACGTTGCTGGGGGCAACACTGGTCCAAAAACCGATGAACCTTCCACATTGACTATTACAAAAGTCCCATTCCATCTGCGGGAAAGATGGGACAGTTATTATTTAGAAATATTAATGATCACTGGACTAGTGGTATACTTTATAAATTATATTGTAGGACGTACAAAAAATGCTCATATAGTTGAGCAATGGTTAATAGATCATAAGCAGCTTTTGATGGATAATTTTTCTCTCATCGGTCATTCAGGCAAATCAAATGAGAATGCAAATGATAATGGTTTCATAAGACAGAGTGAATCGCAGTACAGTTTGTATTGTTCTGGACGTGTCGGCTGTGATTCGATGCTTATAGAGTTGAAATTAATAAAGAGACAAGACTTAGTCGCTGTATTAGCTCAATTGGTACGCCCACAAAATGATCAAATTCACATAGAAGTGGAACTCTCAAAAGACGAAATAGATAATTTCGTTTTAGCAGTTGCCACAAAGCGGTTAGCGATGCATTTAGTGCGCGACATGGCTGATATTAGCGTATATTGCCCAGAGAAACGATCTGGGGAAAAATTCGGTCTTCCATCAGGCTTTTACGTAATGTCTGAGATTCCAGAAGCAACGGCAGCTATTTTGGACACCAGAATTCAGCAAGCCTTCACAAAGTTTGCGTCTTATATAGAATATATTCACATTAGTGATCAATTCAGTGGACGCAAACCCCAGGAGTAAGTAAAAATGAACTGTGCATATTAAACAATGATTCAAGTAAATAAAATATATAGAATGTACATATTTTAGAATAAATAGTCAATTTGATGTCAAATAATATTTCCAATATTAATGTTGTTTAATTCTAGAGATACTACTCAGTTAACAATGCCTGAGGTTAAAAGAATATTGTTGATGAGTCTGAATATAAGTCTTAAGGGTCGCGCGAGTAATCCAGAGACTCAAGAAAAACTCAAACCTTTACTTCAACTTGCTTTCTATTTAATTGATAAGTTGCGACGTTTTAAGTTATCTAAAGAGGTCTGTATTTCTTTACTTTAAGGAATATACATCTTTAAACTATTGTAATTTATATTATGAATTTTGTTATGTATGTAGGGTAAAAATAAAGCGGATAAAAATCGACTCAGAGTAGAAGAAGCCTTCCTGAAAACGACGCACGCCGCAAGGGCCGAAGCTGCGGCTCAAAGACGAGAAGAGCGTCGGAGAGCTGAACAGGAAAGAATTCTGCAAGAGGAGGATCCCGATAAACAACGGAAGTGGGAGGAAAAGGAACAACGAAGATTGGCTAAAAAACGTGCTCCAAGAATGAAGCAACTTAAAGTGAAAGCTTTGTGATATAATCAGAATTAACAAGTGGGATATATACATTTTAAAGAACAAATCTACTACTCTCTCTATATTCTCAAAAAGAAAAATTCGTAAATAATTCCAATGGGATTGTACTTCGTCCAAATTATCTACGAAATATTCTAACTTATGTCTTCATTGAGATTTATATATTTACTCAGTGTTCTCTTACATGAAATATCGAACTTATTAAAGAAAGTACAAACGACTGTGAAAAAATGTATCCTGCAAATTGTAAGTTGTTTGTTGTGTAACGTACATTTTTTTTGCCCTACTGCCAGCTTACATACTTAAATATTATAGAGATATATAATATTCCCTGTTGAAAGAAAAGAATAAAATTTAACGAATACTATATATACATATATAATATTATCATATCTCTTTAAATGCTGTATATCAACGAACTGATATGATAAAATATCCATAAAATCATTGTCCTTTAACACCAACAGCATTTGTATTCAAGAAATCTAATATTCCAAAAATTTTCTTTTTCTCACATTTGAGATAAATGCATCATTAGTTCAGTTATAAATAATTTAAATTATCAATACATCCAATAATATATAATACAATTGTTTGGATGTGTTTAATATTTTTTATATTATTACATCTCCCTCCCATAATATAAATTGAAATATAAAAGTTTTTGGAGGCAAAGTCATTAAATTTGTAAAATGCGAGATAAAAATATATTATTTATTATGCATAATAATTATTCGTTTGTTTTCCAAGTAATGTGCCATAGTATACTTAGCATAAATATTTATAATTACAATGCTTAGCAGAAATATGTAATTGTCTAAGCAATAGACCGATTAATTCGAAATATACGTATTAAGTTTGAACGTTAACCTTTTTTATGTTAATTTTATTTACGACTTTATACGCCAAGTGTAAAATTGAAGATTTGAACAATAATTAATGATCACTAAGTAAGCATAAGGACGATAAAAATATTTTAATACTAGAAGTACCAAATTGTCATTTTTTATATTAATATTATATGTTTTGTGTAAAAAGATAGGATTCTGAAATTTTTTTACTTTTTAATCCGTCTTAATGAAATATTTGGTCTTTCATCATTTTCTTTATTTTCATAGTAGTTTATTCACTATATTACTTATTCACTATTCAATTTTGGTGTTTTTAGTGAATAAAAAACATTGATAGCTAGAGTTAAGTAGCTTTGAATTTAAAGATATCTCCTTCGCTAAGAAAGATGAAAATATTTGATCTACAGTTTTGGTATATGTTATTTATATTTTGAAGCAGAAGTAAAATTAAACTAACTGTGCAGAAGTTTCATATTACTCTGGATAACTGTTTTGGAAAATAGAAAGTTGCTATCCGACACAAAATCCGTTATGACTATATTAAGTCCGCCGCGGCCAGGATATTTCTGACTTATCCAGGAGAGAATTTCTTTCTGACAGCGAGGCACCAGATCTCTTTGCAAGGTACCACACAAATGTTTCATGACGTAGGGTGTATCCGGCGTCAGGAGGCATTGTGATATGAATGCGATGTCCAACGATCTGCTCTGTAGTTCAATATTCAAAAAATTAATCAATTCGTCCACGCGGATGGTATTGGGCCACATGGTACGCCAGAGACCGGATGGCCATAAATTCGCATAATTACGCGCATAAACGTTCCTATAAATCACGAACACCTGGTATCTCTTTAGGACCAGCCATTGCAACGTTATGTGATGAAATCTGGATGAGACCGGACACAATTTTCCACGGAAAATTTGAGTTATTTTGTCTATGAGACGATGATGATCCAGTTCCTTGAAAGCATAGAAATGCTGAAAGTCCAGGATAACGATCTCATTCGCATGCGAGCTAAGCCAGTTGGCCACGTCGAGAAGTGGCTTGCTTATTTCTGCACCGTACAGACCGTGAAGGAAGTATAAATTATTAGTTCCCGGCTTTGTGGCAACGCGCAGATCTAAATATCGGATTCCGCCATTAAGCTGTTGCTTGATATCATCGCGTTGTGTAATAGACCAATTTAAAATAATGGGCTTGGCAACGAATGAACAGTAACGGCCGAGCGTTCGAATGAAAGCAGGTTCGTCTGGTCCCACGTCGTTGTGTCTATCAATCGTATAAGTCATGGTATCATGAGAACCTGGAAATTATCAATTTGTATGAGTATCTTGTAGGTAATTAAGCAAAACCTAAGTTTCATTTACACAAATATATTTCGGAGAATAATGCAAAAAGCAAAGATATTAATAAGACTCTTATTTTAGACCGTATATGTGAGAACACAATCGATAAACTAGAAATTAAATGCCTATAATGGTCAAAGCTGGATCTTTAATGTTTTAATGTAAAGATATTAAGTCAACATTTGTAGATGAATATATAAATTAAGGAACTTTCTCTTGCAATTAGTCTTATCTTTTATCGAGGCTTATTAAGTCAAAATATCATACATTTCATTATTTACAAATGAATATAAATCGAATAATAATGAGACTTATCTTTCGTGTAAATATCTCAATTTCTACAGGCACGAGTGTAACTGCGCATCAAGCAGAGTGATTTAAACGTACCGGGTATCGCCAGATGTATTATGGGTATATTTTTGAGTGGCGCCGGAAACCGAGTCATCCAAAACTCCAGATCGTCGTTTAAAACTGCGCCCGCTATGTTCTCTTCCTTTCCTCTATCTTCCATAATGTTCAAACTTCCGACAATCGCGTATCACATCTCTTACTGGAGGACGCAAGCTCGCGGAGTCACGGAGGCGCAAGTGATACGATCGCAAGTGTCGACTGCGTGTAATGCAAATGACGCACTGCCTTGTATAATGCCGATGTTTTAGATATTCATGTGTTTTCCTACGATGATTTCAAGCCCGACCGTACTATGCAGCTAATGTACACTCATCCAGCGTAACCTCGCTCCGTAAATACACGTGCAGCACTTGCTATGTATATCAGCCTTAATCGTATTCCGGCAAAGAACTAAATTTTGTTGCTCCCTTGCACATCTCTTAATTGCTTTTGCAATTTCTGTATGATAATGTAAGCAATGAGAACTTGACGAGATTGCTAGCGAGAGTTCAAGCCCCTCAAAGAAATAAACAACGCTACACGCGCTCTGTTCTGCGCATACGCGTATTTTCTTTCGCGTAATCAGTTTATGAATATATCGCAAGATACGTACAGAAATCTTGATAGAATCGAGCCGTCTTTCTGCATATATCAATATTAATCAGAAGCCAACTCTCTGCGTGTATTAGAACAAGAAATATTACTCCAAAGATTTATGCTCGGTTTTCACCACCTAAAATTATAATGTTTAAGATTTTTTAAATATTTTCAAGGAGCTATTCATATATTAACTAAAACAGCAAACATTATTCTATTGTTATCCTAGTATATTTTTAAGAATCTAAATTTTAATATATTATATGAATATAAATATTAAATGTATATAATAATAAAACACAAATGTGTGCGTGCGTGCGTGTGTATTATCTCTCTTGTTGCTCATATAAATCTTTCAAAATTTTCTAATATTATAATACCTAATAGAAATCGTGTTAAGAAATACTGAAGTCATGTAAAATTATTCTGCGTCATGTCTTCTTATTTACGTAGTAGCATTATGTTATTACGTGACACAACTTACCTGTGAATCATCATCTTCGATTACATCGGAAATATTATGCTTCTCGAGTATATTCTGCAGCGAATAAATAATCTTCTGTTTCTGATCAGCGCAACATGAAGTACAAGTATCGCTCGTGCAGACATGCTCCTGTAACTGAAAATAATAGTTTTTTGTATTTTATCATATACATGAGAAAGATATAAATATCTTAAATTGCACGTATATTGAGACACATTTGCGATACATGCTGGTATCTAAATCTTTACATGTAACTATTAATGATAATTTAATAATAATTAACTTATAACAATAATACATAAAAAATATACATGTTATTGTTATTGCATAACAACAATTCAATTTTTTCATATATTCATTTGTGACCACGTATATATTTCTACCCAATGAGCTTACAGGATAAAAATTGTAACTGTAACAAAATCAGGAAGAAGCCAAGGTCCAAAGAGTGATTTTCCTTCAAGAGTTTTAAGGTTTGACATGAGTTGTACATGTGCTATTGAAGAACTCTACACATTCGCATGTCTGTTCAAAGAAACGATACCTCTAACGCTTCCAGGATGCTTTGTTTGGCTTCGTTCAGAATCTTGTTCAAGTTATCGAATTCCTCGCACTTTTTTCGCACTTCCATCAGGACTTTCTCCCGGGCCTTTTTGGTCTCCTGTAAATGTCGCTCGAGAACCTTCACTTTCTCTTCCGACTCCGTGCATCTCGCCTTGTATTCACTCATTATTTGCTCGTAATTGCCGAGTCTCATGTTCTCACGTTGTATTCGACCGTATTCGAGGACCGTGTCCACGTGCTCTTCGGCGAGATCATGCATCGCACGTCTGTACTTTATTACATCTTCCTGCGCTATTTTGGCTTCGCCTTCGAGCAATTCGCACTGCAACCTGAGTGTACGATCGGTTTCTTTGCATTGCGCGCTCTTTCTTTCCAGATCCTGGCAAATCTTCAACATCGAATTCAACTCGTGATTCAACGCGATGTTCCTCCTGACTGTGTTATGCATCATGTCTGCTATGCGAATATTGGTCGCTTCTTTGAATTCTCGAGCGAGCTGCCTCAATCGTTCCTCCATCTCCTTCTGCATTCTACAATACATAGGATTTGTCTGATGTTAAAGTATATTAAACAATATTATATAATATATATATATATATAAATATATTAAAATAAAAAAATTAAGCGATAAAATAATTTGTTAAAAATTATTTCCAAGGCATGTAAACCTTGAAGAATAAAGATATAAAGATAAGACTGCACAACTTCTGAAAACTATTGTTATTCAGACGTGACATTTGCGATAATAAAAAGCTATTGATTAATTTGTTTACTTAGCCTTAGTAACAATGACTGATTTTTCTGTTTCATAAAGCGTCGTCTTGTGTACTTCCTCTTGTTTCGCCATTTCTTCCTCTTGTATCTCAAACTTACGCATTAAATCCAAGCGGGCTAATCTCCAATCCTCCAACGCATTCAGCTTCCCAGCTGATATAAAGTAACAGAACATGCAATTTTTCGTATGGCCTTTTCTCTGCTCTTTTATCGTGACAATTTTATACCTGCAAGTTTTACTTCAGCGCTCAGATTACTTTCCATAGTACGGTACTCTTGTTCCATCGCATTTTCTTTCTTTTTATACTCTGCTTGCTCCTGCTTTCTCAATTCTTCCATGGCCGATAAACGTTCGTTTAGTTCGCGAGCTTCTTCTATTCTTCCCTCCAAGTCTCGTTTTAAATGCGCCACAACATCGGATCGATCCTCTTTCAACTGCTCGTACTTCTTCGTCAAATTCTTTACCTCGATTTCAAGCTCCTCATTTCGACTGCGTAGCCTTAAAATATCGGGAGGGACACATCATTAAATTCAAATTAGAAAGAAAGAAAAATCAAAGTGCCAGCCTCAATCTTAATGAACAAACCGTGACAGTTGTCTATTGTTGTCTAGAATTTGTTGTTCGTAAGATACCGTTTCTCGTTCGTTTAAACACTTTTTCCGTACTTTCTTCTCTTTGTCACCTCCACGTTTCTTCTTTTTAAACATCTTTTTATTTTTATACGCTACTTAAGCGTTCTCTGTGTATAAAATGTGTTATGTTTTGAAATTTTTTATTAATTCATCTTAAATTACTTTTATATCAGAAATATACGTCGTAGGAAATCGAAATTTAATAAAAAGTCGAGTCAAGAAGATTTTTAAATTCGATTGAAATTACTGCATTGTCTCCACTGTTCGGTACACAACGTCAAATATCGATGCAACTTCTGATTTAGCGTATTTCCGTTCCTCTGTTGCCATAGAGACAACAAAACCAAATATATCTTCCATGGTTCAAAAAGAACGTAATATATCTTACAAGTAATTATTTTCCATAATTCTTTTTACATTATATCTTCTATAAAAATATAAATGCATGACTACCATGAGTATGAGGTATATGCGTGAATAAATGTCAACACAATATGAGTAACATAAAATATCAATTAAAATAACAATTCTTATACAACAATAAAGATCTATTACATAAGAAAATATTAACGAATAATAACAAATAATACTACATATTTATATACAGGATATTCCAACTATTCTAATCTACTAATGTTGTTTTAAATATTAATTACGTTTGCTTCAATTAATATAATTCGACAATAATATAATAGAACAAAGAAATAAATTTGTAAATAAAGATATTGTTTAAATTTGTATTTTAATTTTACTCATTATAATATTGTAAGCTATATCATAAACTCTGGTATATCCTATATATAATGCAATAGAACAAGTTGTAAATAAGAATACGTAATGTAAGAAATATTTCCATACTTGGCATATATATATGTATATATATATATATATACTACATATCAATAACATTTACACGTTTCTAACATTTTCATTTCACTCAATTTTAGCATATATACAATCCAATCTATTTGCACAATTACAATTATTTACACAGCCACTGCAATATCGTGCACAAAAATCGTAATATTCTTTGGCAATAAAACAATTTTATTAGATAAATAATCAACAACCTTTTAATTCGTATTTTATGTTACAGCAATATTTTGTAATATTTTAATATGTATCATGTGTAATCTAAGATAATTACAAACGTGTCACTGAAAAAAGTTATATATATATATAAGTGATTTACAAAACCATCATAAAATAAGATTATTGCAAAGGTAGTCAAATTTATAAGAAAGTTATATTTATATTTATAAGAAAATATGATATACAGAATTGCAAATTTTTGAATAAATTTGACTGTTTTGCAAAAAGAGGAAACTCTAAATATGTAATAAACCCGTTCATTTATGGACAATATTCCTACTCACATGATATACATTGTGTTGTGAGCTTAATAATGGAACTTTATAAACTAGGAACTAAGCTTAGAGTCCACACATTAGCATACGAGAACTAACCAAAGTAATTTATATTAAAAAATCACCAATTATCAGTTATGGCATTATATAACTTTCAACAAATTTAGGAGTAATCTCCGAGTTAGAAGTAAATTACTATGATATATACATTTAACGCACTGAAATATTGAACTCGAGGTTACTCAACTTGCGCCATAGGAAGGATGTTATCAAAAATGATGTTCCAATATGAATCTCTTATAAAATTCTTTCCAAGCTTAGTCTAGAAAAATCTATGTATAAAGTATATAATAAGACTAAGCATTCCTGTGAGAAATCCAATAAGATATAAATCCCAGTTTTGTCCAAGCAATTGATCCCATTTATCCAATTGATCGACTAAACTGAATTCTTGTAGGTAATCGAAGCCGAAGAGGAAAGAAAGTTTGATCAAAGCTAGTGCTACAGGTATTCGCGCGTCAGGACTAGCATCCGCAGCTAAATCGTAGCATCGTTTAGCTAAATGTCGGTCTTTAGCTAAACCTAGACCGCGTTCATGCATGTATCCCAAGTTGAACATTGCCTGAGCATTGTGTTGTTGTTCGGATGCCGAACGGTAATGACTCGCAGCAACTTCATAATCAACTTTTGTTCCTCTGCCGTAATAATGCGCATCTCCAAGTTTTACCTGAAGTAAAATAGAAGTTATTTCATGTTGAAGTACAAAGGTAAATTTTTCAACTTCGATTTGTACACCCACCTGCGCAGCGGAATAGCCTTGTGCAGCAGCTCGTGCCCATAATGCCAAAGCTCTAACCAAGCCTTGCTCTTCCGATAAAATACCAGTTTCTCCTCTATCTAAAATGAATGCTGCGTTACTCTGTGCAACCTCATAACCCATTTCGGAAAACAGGGCGTAATTGAGGAATCCTTCGTTCACTCTGCCGTCTCTATAATCAGAATGTGCGACCATCAATTGGTCGCTCCACTTTCCTCTTTCGGCAACGTTTTTCATTAATTCCACGGCTGTCGGACAACTTCTCATCATTCCAGTGCCAGTGGCATGCATCTGAGCAAGATTATAGTATGCTAATACATGACCGGACTGACTAGCTAAATTAAAATACTTATTTGCCATTTTGTAATCTCGCCTCACGCCTATACCACCTAAAAATGAATTCAAGTATAACAAAGTAGTAGACGATTATTTATGTGAACAAGAGATGACAGAATAATTATGCAAATATAAATACATATACTTACTGAAATACATATTGCCTAATTGCAACTGTCCATCAACCCAACCTTGTTCTGCAGCTTGACTGAAATATTGCAACGCTTTACCAGTATTTCTTTCTACTCCCATTCCGTATAAGTACATCAGACCCAATCCACTCTGGCCTACTGGATTGCCTAATTCTGCAGCTTTCTTGAAATATTTATACGCTGTTTCATTGTCCTGCTTAACGATATCACTTCCTTCTAAATAAATCTGCAAATAGAAAACATGTGAAAGGAATATCATATAATTGGAATATATTTGACAACCATGCAACTTTGTATATAATATTATAGATATAAATATTGTTGTTAAAATTTTTCATTTTACCTTTCCAAGGAATGCCATAGCTACTGGATTGCCAGCGTCAGCAGCATGTTGAAAATACTGCACCGCTCTTTCGTGATCCAGAGGAACTCCTCTACCTCCTTGATAATGAAGTTGTCCAAGTCCAACTTGTGCCTGAGTATCGCCTTTTTTGGCTAACAATTGATAGTACTCTATTAAATCTTGATCAAAAATTCCGGAAGTATATCCTGGATTTTCATGCTCGTCTAAGAGTCGAACCCGTTGAACTACCGGACCACCACTCAGCGAGACTTCTTCCGCAACCTTCTTCGCTACCTTTCGATAAAAGTCTAAAGCACGTTCACAAGAGGCTGGTGTTGTTACACCTGCCCAATTACGATATCCCATCACCATTTGAGCACGAACATCACCACCGAGAGCAGCTACAGTATAATGAAGTAAAGCTTTTGCTTGAGATGCATTAACTCCACCAATACCGATTGCATACAAAAATCCCATTCCCTGTGTATAAATATAAGAAAATTGATTATAAAATTCTGCCAAAATTTAATGTTACTTATTATGTACGTACCATATGAGCAGATGGGAGTCCAGTATCCGCAAGTTCTTTGAATATTTTAAATATATTAGGTATGTCGTTAATAGCCACTTCCAGAGTAGTCGAACCCAAGGGAGACCCAAGTAATCTTGCCCATGTCAATATAGATTTTGCCTCACGATGGCCTAACTTTGCTGCTTCAACGAGCAATCTATAACCCTCTTCTTTGTTAGCGCGCATCGCATTTATGATACTTTCTGCTTTCTTAAACAATTGTTCGGCTAAAAAAAAATTTATTACAGCAAAGATCATTAAGAAATAACACAAATAAAATTTTATTGTGTCATCTGATAAGAACAAAGCGTGTCTAAATTTAACGTACCTGCTTGTTGTTCCACTGACAATGGCTCTTGGACCTCCTCCTCGAGCGTTTCATACAGCTCTTGAGCTTCCCAGGATTCCATATCCTCTTCATCCAATGGTCTCTCATGTAAAACTATAGAGTCTGTATCTTTCGTCTGAGCTATCATAGTCTTCATCCATACGTTCCTTGTACCCGGATTCTCCAGGGTCTCCTTGTTGGCGGTCTCCGTCTTGCTCTCCCCATCCTCCTTTTTACCAGTCTGCTTGTTGATCTTCTCATAGATCGGATCGGACGTCGGTACGAGCTTCATTATCGTGTCACGTAGAGCACTCAGCTCGCGCAGTTGTTCGAAGGCATTCTCGATATCCTCGATCGCGACCTCCTCCTCCGTTTCTTCATTAGTATTCGACTTCTGCGTGATATCGCCGCGTTTCTTCGAACCAGTCTCCAGTTCCGCGGTGCTCAGGAGAAACAACGCTAGGAGCGGCAGGAACACCATCCTCCCGTTGGACTTCATAGCTTCGGCGAGAATTCAAACGCGAGACCTCATTACAAACCTATAAACGCCGGTGACCTTAACGTGCTCATCGCCCTCTCGGGTACGCGGTTATACGAGAGACGCGCGATTGATCGCATTTGACACGTACATACGTGGACATTCGCGAGAGCCGTCTCGCCTCTTCGACCAATTACGTCATTAGGACACGTCAATACACATCTTCCCGCGGCCGACGGATGTCAACAAAAACAGTAGGCTCGCGATCGACCAAACGAGGACTCGTCACGAGTCGTGTGTACACGCGTTATTATACACCACGCGGGAAAACATTCGTCGAGTCAGCTGTTCACCGCTAAAAGCGTGCAATCGCCATAATAAACGTGGCTTCACCGCACTCACGTCGTCCGTGCCGCACACGAATGCGTATTACACCTGATTACACCTTGTTTACACCGCGCAGTAGCGACGTATCCTCACCACGTCTGCTCACGTCCACCGCGTTCACCGTCGACCACCGTCGACCACCGACTGAATCAAATCAAGTAAAATAGGTTTTTTTTCTCGATATATTAACAATTCTGATGTTATTTGTATATCCTTTGTCTCCACTCAGAACGCGTACGATGGAACGACGTAATGTTTTGCGTTTTAGATTCTATTAGATAAGGATAGATAAGTAGAGGAAAAAATGATGATAATAATAATAATAGTATCGTCTTCTGACGAAATTAATTAAGCCTCTGAGTTGCCCCAACTGCACTTTGTAGAAGTTGGCAGGCAGATTTATAAAAGTTATAGGTTAGCCGTTCAACAAGTTTTACTCCGATTGTATTCGTGAACGCGCTTTGAACGAGAATATGATATTTTGTTTTTCGAAGTTTCATAAAAATTGAAACATTTC